GTCCTTGAAACTTGAGTTCCAAGTGGCATATACAACAGATTGTTTATTTACATCAAAACGCGTGTTCCGTGTAGTAGTAATATGGCCAAAAATAAAAACAGCAGTTATTCGGCCATCTTTGATCTGATTATGAAACACACTGATATGTATGATCTATGTGCCAAATACGAATGAAAATGGTACATAAATTGTGGAAATATACTAGTAGGCCAAAAAGTCAGATGGCTGTCAATCGGCCATCCTTGACCAGTTTTTGAAACAAATTGTCATGAACATGCATCCTAACATGTATAATCTATGTACCAAGTTTGAATGACAACTGACAAAGCATGTCCAAAATACAACATTTTCAAAAAACAAGATGGCTGCCAGTCGACCATTTTGAATTGAATCACTAAACCATGCAATCATGTGCATATGTCCCACATAAGGTACTAGGCACATGCAAAGAATGAACGGAATCGGTCCACAGGATTCTGAGATACAACTCTGGACGGATGGACGGAGACCGAATTATAAGTCCCCGTTTTCGAACTTCGACCGAACGGGGACTAATAAGGGAGAATATAAATAGAAGATCACGATGCGATTGCTTTTCATTATATTTTATTTAATTATATACATTTCTATATATTAAATAAATGGCAAAGTTCTATTTACACAGTATGAAATGTCTGGATACAGTGGTTTGTTTGAACTAACCAGTTCTAATCATGTAACGTGCATAACAAACCAGTCAGCAACTTAGTTGGTAATGTTGATGTTCAGAACAATATAGCGGTGACAGTGACGTTAGAAACTAATTTTTAAAAGTCTTCTATTCATAGGCATGTGCACCCCACCCCAGTAACAGTATTTAGATACATCACATTCTATGAGGAAATTTCATTCATGTTGGCATGGCAACAAATGTTTATGAATTTGAAAGACCAGCATTGAGGCAATTAGAATTTAACCTTTCGACTGCATGGCCAGCACTAAATAATTTTAGAATCAGAAACAATGAAAACAAGTCACTGCCCATAGACAGTTCTTGTGCATTTGACAATTCAAAAGAGTAAGAATAATGTCAAGAGAATTTCATTGAATCAAAAACAAAAATGACATGCACTTGAAACAATTGTGTCTTGCCTTGGCGCCAAATTTAAAAAAAAAAAATTGTCAGGAAAAAGAACAAAGCAACTGAAAAAATGTGGGTTGTTCATGACAAATTTGAATGAAATTGGTCCAGGCATGCCTGAGAAACAGGTCATGTTGAAAAATGGCCACCAGTCTGGCAAAAGTGGACAACATAATGTAGCATCTATAATTAATCAACACAACAGTTGTAAACATGACTGGCGGTAATAACAGTTTATGTTAACAGAGTTTATCCTGCCAGTGAAAGAACTTTTTTTTTTATACATAATTCAATATATTGACCGTTTTAATTAACTACTTTAATGTACTGAATGAAGGCCATTACTGTAAAACATTCTTCAGCTAGTATGTTATGCTAGCTAATCTGTAATTCTGCTAATTCAAAATAACATATATTCTTTCAATTTGATTGTTGCAAATTAGGATTCTGTTAAATTGTGCATTGAGTTAAATTCGCTAAAATGGCATGTAGCTAAACATGGCAACTAATGACAGCTACCATGAAGTGTTTTGTTGACTGATCTAATTTGATAGTACGATGGATTTAATGGCACCATGAGTTCATATATACATGTATAGGTATAGAATACATATATCCCTCAGCAAACACTAAAAATACCAGTTTATTAGTCCTGGGGCAATGTTTTGGATTATGTGTGGTTTAATTGATATACTTCTACCAGAAAGTATGGTATTTAAGATCATATTCAATTCATTTATACTTGTGCCAAGGAAAATATTGTGAGTCAAATCTGCTTTATCTGAAAAAAAGTTTCCTGAGGCACACAGCTGCCAATGATCTTGCTGTGTTATCAGTACTCTTACCTGTGTTGATTTGTGTTTCATTTCAGGACCGTAATTGGAGCCATCTCTTGGCCAAATGCCTGTTAAATACCCAGTAATTGTGTCTAAAGAAGAGGTTCGGCGCATGGAAGATGAAGGACTAGCTCGGACTGGTTTTGGACGTTCAACTGAAATTACAATAAAATATACAAAAGAATTTTAAGAAGAGATAAAACTTACTGGTCTATGAAAGGTCATCTGTGAAAGAAATGAACATAAACAAAAAGTTGCATTTATTGTATAGTGAATAGTTTAAATTTTGACAAGACATTCCATCCTTTACTGAGGAGCAAGATACATGCACTAATAGAACAAATACAGTTACATTAATAATACTATTCATGAAACGTAAAATTTATAAATGAACTTTTAAGAACCTGCGCTGCTGAGTGACAGGTCTCTGAGTTAAGCTGTGAAAATGCATCATTAAAAGTCTAATGGTTTTCCATCATGCAGGGAAACTCTGAAAAACACTGCCCGCAGGCAGGCCATCTGCTAGAGTTTTTAACAGTTGTATTTCCAAATATGCAAGTCAGTCAATGTAAAACAAGATATTCAGCAGGTGGTATTTTCACAGGCAGATTTGACATGGACATCGTGGTATGGATTCTGTAGCAGCACAACCTATGCATATCACAAATGTAGTAACACATTGGCTCCATTATGAGTATCTCGACAAGCAAAGCAAAAAAAAAAGCTTTTTCAGCTGCTTTTAGATTTACCGGTATACTACCTATAGTATAAATACTATATTTAGTATTGTATATATTTTACAATTCAAAATGTGGTCACACAATCTATGAATCTAGGAGAGATTACTGCTTTTATGGGATAAAACCTTTCATTTTTAATGGCAACAACCAACATAATATTTTATTACTAGAAGGGGATACAAAATGAACAAGCTAAAATTAAGATGAGGCATCACTACAAGATAGGATTTCAAATGAAAAGACCGACTTGTAATTTGACCAATTTAAAATGCTTCTAGCATTTTTAATGTAGCTACATGTACCTGGAGATGCGGATAGCCATAGTTTTAAATTGTCCTTGAATTGAGCTGCTCAACGGCTCTTCTACCATACACATAATAAGCATGTCTGCTAGAATTTTTTATTATTATTTCAGTCTAGATGTTTAAACTACATCCCTGGACAACTTTGGTACATTTTATGTAAATTCTAACTAGCTTTATCATTTTATTTTAGATTGACTCTAGGCATACAACTGGGATTTATTAGCTAGCAGTGGTTTCTCATTTCACACCATGTACAACCCAACCCCCCACAAGGATATCATACAGTTGAACTTGTCACAAATGATAACATAAATGTATGTGACACATCTCCAGTGAATTGAGTGAGTAGAGTGGTAAATTATAATCAGTATGACAGGTATTGCCTATACAGGCAGAAGGAAATACCTGCGAATGCAAGAGACCCGACAGTGGAAATAGCTCTGCTGTCCAAAAACAATGACATAGCCAAGTCAAGCAATGCACACCCATAAGAGTCCTTCTAGAAAACTGCCAGGGCAATTTGATACAAAGTATTAAATCAATCGAACTGGTAGTTTTCAAAAAAGAAGTCGAAAATATAATATTTTACCAAAAATGACAAAAATACTCAACAAAAATAGAGAATTGAAGATATCATCACAAACTGAACAAATCTGAGCGAGGTCCACCCAAAGTACCTACATACCGTACCAAGTATCAAAGCAATTGAGCTAGCAGTAACAAAATGAAAAAAAATCTATCAAAGATTCACCCATGGTGTTTACATAAAAATATCAAAGCAATTTAACAAGCCAATGGTCAATGAGTAATGTAAACAGCCCTGCTCTGTTGACTAAAACAGCATTTAAAATCTAAAAAAAAATAGAAAAGCACAGAAATGCACAAAAAATACATTATGGTGATCATGGGGAAAAAAGTTCAATATTGCAATAATGGAACACTGATTTATTCATGTATGTTAAATTGCTCTATTAGAAGTGCATCTTTAAAAGAAGCACACATTAACCCAAAACTGCATTTATTATTACATACTGGATCATTGAACTACATGTAGGACATTTTTATCAAAAACGTCAATCTTACATTTCCTGGACATGCCTTGATTATATTTGTTCAAAGTTGGAGGAGCTACGAGTTGGTCATATTTATACATTCTATTTTGTGACAGTATCTAAACTTGTATTTTTTTGTTTTATACTTAATGCCTTTATAATCACCACAAACTTTTCTACAATTGTATTCAAGGTAGTCTTCAGGACTCCTCAGAAAATACACAGATGACCTATTTAATCGATCAAAACTATTATTTTGTCATTAGTTTTTAACATAGATTAAAAAGACAAACCTTGCTTTAACATGCCAATGAATGTTTCAAAATTTCATAGAAATGTATGGATTTCCTTCCAAATTAGAGATTCCATATGCTGTTTTTTTTTTACATTTGATTCAAGGTGAAAATCTATGTCATAAAAGATGGGAATTGATTGATTTCATTCACTCTTGACATTCGCATGATGGCAGAAGCTACAATGGTATCATAGAATTCATAATATAACAGTCCAATTTACTTTCAGAAATCATTTCAAATTTCATCTTGAAAATACGAGTAAAATATCACCTAAACATGTATATAGCTTCCATTATTACTGAATGTACATTGTAATCAGAAAGTATACTCATTTTGTGTAGCTTTGGGGTGAGCAGCAAGTCACTTAAGACTATTTCATATTGTCATTCCATGTCAAACATTTTTGCCCACCTTTTAAGCTTGTTCATTAGTACTCATTCTGACAAAGTTCAATTTATGTTTTTTAGTCTGCCTATGTCATTTTATCTGTGACATAAGTTGATCAATCTGATTCAGTATTTAAAGAAGACAGGTCACATGCGTTCTTTTGTGACCAGCAATCAAATCAAACTGGCCTACTAAAAGCAATTTTGCTTTTAAAAATTATTAAAACTTCATGCAAGAGCACATTTTGGTTGGAACTATAAAGCACATGATGGATGTACATTTTCTTTTTTTAAACTATCAAAATTTTTAGTGCACTGAAAATGGTTAAAAATAACTTCCAAACACAAGTCTTGAGCAAAACAGTTGCCATATTAGCGAACAAACAATCAGACGAATGGACAGACACGGTAAAGTTATAAAACATCAGCTGACATTACTTAAAAAATTGCATTTTATTCTTTTTTAAAACCACCTCCTATTACCCCCATTCAGTATTCTAATCACATTCTCAATGTGCTTGACCTTTCTTTCAGTCAAGCAAAGATCCATGGCCTAGTTTTGTACATGACCTCTGAACCAAATAAAATGCCAAGGAAAAACCCAAGAGAAAACCACAATATAGAATAATAATCACATCTAAATATACAATAATTTTGCTGAGGATAAAGCAAAGATGGATCAACCTTGGGAAGATTGTGCATGTGCTTATTAAATCTTAGACAGCACATTAGTATGTGGCAAAACGATGACTCACATTCTGTAATGCCTGTATTTTCTACAGCAGATGCCATATTCAATATCTATTCAAATTACCAAGTATAAATATATAATCCTTCACTTCAAGAGCTTACAAGTTAAAATCTGTTAATATATCATGGTAAAAATAACGGTCACTGCTGAAAGATTAATATTGAACTTTGTTACATACATTATACCATATATGAATTCATTGTAAACTAAACAGGCACACAGTTGAATAAAATATTTTTTCAAAACTTAAAAATGCACAATAAAATATATATTTGACGATTTCGCAATTTTTTATTATCTTAAATTGCAGACCATATTATATAACAGCACTCAGCAGGTGAAACAGCATGCTGATATTACACACATGGCCAAGGTTGAAACGAAAGGTTTATATTAGGCAATGAGTCAAATGTAACAAGACAGCAATTTTAAATCAAACTGCTAAAACCGGATTTGCTTCATTGTAAGTACATTTTCAATAAGAGTTCATTCAAGTAACCAAAAATTGCATTTATTGTATTAAAATACAACTAATATTTACCATCAACAGACCTCTATGAAAAGTTCAAGTGCATGCACTACTGGTGAGCAAATACAGTTTAGGAACATTCCTGCAACAGTCCCTGTTAGGCCAGGAAAAAAAATTCTATTTCTCGTTCCATGGAAATTTTAAAATGAGGCGTTGAGAAGTTTTTCTTTTGTTTTGTTTTTTTGAAGACTGAGCTAAAATGGGGGAAATTTGAGACAAGTGCGAGTACAAGCGCATTTTGGAATGCTTTAGAAGGAAAAAATCGTTTGAAGCGCATAGTTCAAAATGATGCAAGCGGAAACTAGGAACATTTTTTTCTCAGCCTTGGTTTTCAATTTTAGATCATTACACACAAGTCTAATGATGTAATATACATGTATATACAGTGTGGAAACAACCTGTTAACATATTTGATGTGGTTTAAAAATGAACAAGCACCTCTAATGTACGTTATTGTTACTTAAAATTTTCTACAAAACTGGCCCATTCATTCTTTCAATTCAACTGCCAATATGTTTACGTTTTAAAGCTAGTTATAGTTTAACTTGAACTTCAAAAAAAAAAAAAACAGAAAAACATGGGATAGATGGATGGAATCTTTTGAGAACTATTTAGTATAAATAAATCATGATTCTAAAAATTTACAAAGGTCCCCGAAATGAAGACGCATTATCACTGCTTAGCCATTTAATATTAGACAAGCAGGAGAATTTTACATAGTACCAATATAAAAGTGATTAAAATATATTGCAATTCCTAAGTAAATCTAGTAGTGAATACATGAATCTTGTTTAAGTATATGTTGTACAAGCATGGCTGCAAGCAAAATTTAGCTTCCATGGACAGCATGGCACCTCTATGTTAAAATCAATGTCAACAATTGTAACTGATTACTCTTCACTTGACAGCCAGATTTTCATTGCAAATTTTCAATACTCAAATTCATTTGTAGACAGTCAAGGAGCAGATGCACTTGTAATTTCACGTTGCATTATAAATCACAATCAGGCATCAGGAACTACTCTCATTTCTGTATTCATTGCGTAGTACAGTTGAAAAAGCAATTATACATATTTGGACACAAGAAGCAAATCAA